TACTAAAACATATTTAATTTGAAATGCTATGAAGATAAATGATGCCAAAGTTTTTCCCTTTGTGAATGTTTTCCTTATTCATATGCATTTTCTGATTTGGAAAGGGAAAGTGATTTTAAACATTTTCTAAGTTAAGGGATTATAACATACATTGGGGCCTAGAAGAATCTCAATGATCAATAGCTAGCAGACAAGCTTTGCAAGCCCCATTAACATTTTGTTTTTATTCTTTAGGAAGATAATAAGTAATAGTAATGGAACAATTTTTAGATTAATCAGATCCTTAGGGAGTTCTTAGGGAGTTCCCAGTGCCTATTGGGCCTGAAAACATTGCTCTACTACATTTTTGTCTCTACACTCCCTCCTCCATTTCAGAAGGACCTAGAGTTCCCATGTTACCGCCTACTGCCATCAGAGTTGAATTTTGTGACACCTCTACTAGGCAGAGTGAAAGTTTAGTGCTGCTAGGATGATGGAAGTTTTGGGTCAAGAAGGATGTGAAAGAAGTGCTGATTTGTTTTAATGCAGTTGGGAACCCCATACCATGTGATCAGCCACGTGCCTATCCAAGAGAATGTAATGGCTAGGAGGCTATTTGTAAATTATTGAATGGTAGCCATGGCCAATTGATCAGGAAAAAAGGGGAAAGAAAAATGTAGTAGTAAATCTACTTGGGTCAAACTGTTTTTGAATATTCTGTAATTTAGCTATTTGGAGAAAAATAAAGCTATTTGATGTTATTTTTAATTTTTACTGTTTTTTCCTTTTCTTTTCCCCCCTTTTTGAAGTAGGACAGAATTCATTTTGCTGAGATCAAATAGTTGGGATTAAGGCTGAGTTGAGTTGAGATCTTTTCTTTTTCTTTGATTGCAGGCAATGCAGAGCTGTACTGCAAAGTTGGTGTACCTTTTGTAATGGGAACTACAGGTGGGGACAGGGAAAGATTGTACAAGACTGGAAGACTCAAATGTTTATGCTATAATCTCTCCATAGATGGGAAAAGAGGTTTTTATATTCCTTTTTACATCTTTTTGTTTTTAGTATAATTAGGAATGTTTTTATTATCAATATAATTGGGAATGTTTTATAGCTTGGTTGTTCTTATTTCCAATAAAATCCATTGTGGTGGGTTTTTTTCTTAGGTTGTTGTATTTCTTGCTGCTATGGAGATTATGGCTGAACAATTTCCTGGAGCCTTTTCAGGTTATTCTTTACAAGTACGGTCTTCTCTTTCTGGATTAATTGTATACCTTCTGGTGTTTGATTTTATACATGGATATTCAAAAGTGTTCCTGATTAAAACTATTAAATCATGATACCTTGTCCATGATGAACACACAGAATCCTACAGGGAATCTATTAAAAAGGATCTTCTGAGAAGTTATATGCCAAGAATATTGAGAATGTAAAGAGGCTTCATAATCTGCTAAGAGACTCCACCAATGTTGATGTGGTTATTGAGAGGCCTAGTTGAATTGTTGGAGATGTATGCAGCAGGAGAAGAGATATTTGCATGGTGCATGAGGAGAGGAGTGGTGAAGAAAATTAGAAA